CAGTCAGCAGAAAGACCAAGTGATTAGAAGGCTGGAAATTTCAGTGCCACCCACTGGCCTCTGGGAATGCGGGTGGCGCTGAAGATGGAGCTATATGAAAACTCTTGCGCAATGAGATTCAGGGAGCTTCTGGGTTGGTGAATGCATCCACAGGCCAGGAGGGTGGTGCTTCCTGACTTTACAGGGGCAGAAACTCCTGCATTTGGGACTCTTCTGAAGCTCACCCTGTGTACTTCGTCTAGCTGCTCATTAGTATCCCTTGTAATAAACCCACAAACGTAAGTAAAGTGACTTCCTGAATCCTGTGAGCCCTTCTAGCAAACTATTAGAACTGAGGAGGGGATCATGGGGACCCTCAATTTATAACCAGTTTATCAGCAGTATAGGTGGGTGGCCAGAGACTTGTGACTGGCGTCTGAAGTAGGGGCAGTCTCGACGAACTGAATCCTTAACCTGTGGGGTCTACACTAACTCCTAACAGCTAGTGTCAGAACTGAACTGGATTGCTGGCCACCCAGTTCGTGTGAAGAATTTGGCTGACGACAGAAAACATCCCAGAGGCTATAATTAGTGAGCATGTTCAGTTCTCTAACTTGAAAGGAGGGGAAATTATTAGATTTAACACTCAGCTATCTTATAAATGAACTTTCTCAGAAGCCTTTAGTGTTTTCACCCACAGAGAGACTAATGGTGGAAGATTCAAACACTGACAAGCCTTGGTTTAAGGCAGAGGAGGAACTTCTTAACCTCCTAGAAGGCTAAGCGCCCTGGCTCACGCCTGTAATCCCAGCACTTTGGGAGGCCAAGGCTGGTAGATCACAAGGTCAAGAGATCGAGACCATCCTGGCCAACGTGGTGAAACCCTTGTCTCTACCAAAATTACAAAAATTAGCTGGGCATAGTGGCGGGCACATGTAATCTCAGCTACTCGGGAGGCTGAGGCAGGTGAATCGTGCGAACCTGGAGGTGGAGGTTGCAGTGGGCCGAGATTGCCCCACTGCACTCCAGCTTGGCAACAGAGCAAGGCTCCATTTCAAAAACAAAAAAAATCTCATCACCTCCAGCAGTACTTACCGTGCTTCTCTCTGGGGCTGACCATGCCTCTGTCTTCTCACTCAGGACGCGTGGGTGTGATCTGAATCATCTCTGTCCTTTATTTCCAAACCGTGCTCATTCTCCCTATAGCCTTTCCTTGGCCCAAGGGTTAGTCATCCTTCAAGGTGAATATTGATGTGATCCCCAGTTCCTAGCCCCTCCAACTTCTTGCCAAAGATGTTTCTATCTGTCCTTACAGTCAGGCTGCCTTCCTCCTCACAACCCTGACTTCCAGGTGGTAAAGAGGGCCCAAGATATGCTGGGCACTGAAGCAGGGAAGAAAGGAGTGCTGGGTGTGCAATTATTCATTCGCTATACATTTGCTGATTCCTGCCATGATCCTAGCCCTGTAGGCTGTACAGATAATTTATGACGCGGTTGCTTAAGAGCGGAAGTATGAGAGGGCTTCAAGTGTATGTGAATTCATCTAAGCAGGATTGAGCCAGGGGCAGAGGTTAGTTATACTGAGGACAGGCAGGCCATCCCCAGTCCCATAGGACAGACTTATGAGTGAGTCAGCCAGGCCTTGGAATAGAGGGTTACAGTCATGACATGACATAGTCATGAGCCGGCAGGGGTAGTCAGAGCCCCAGTGGAATCCACTGTTACCACAGGGATTAAATGAGATAATGTATGTAGAGAGCTTGGCTATGAGAAAGCACTCAATAAATGGTAGCTATTATTTTTTTTGTTACTGAGTTGCATTGTTAGACTCACAGAGGTAACTGGCAGAGATTCTATCTGGAAGAGTCCCTGCAGAGGATCTGGTAGAGAACGTTACATCTGGGTGGAGCCTTTGTGGAGGCGGTTCTATTCTTTTGTGGGAAATGGACTCTTTGGAGAACCTGATGAAAGCTGTGCGTCTCCCCAGAAAAAGGCACAGCTGCTCACAGGATGCTTTGCGTATTATTTCAGCAACTTCACAGACTCCTGGAAGCCTGTCTAGTCAGGGAACCTGGTTGGACACAGCTGTTATTTGCCAAGCACGGCTGAGAAAATTTCCTACTGTTCTGCTGGGCACTGTGGCTCACACTTGTAATCCCAGCACTTTGGGAGGCCAAGGCAGGCGGATTGCTTGAGCCCGGGAGTTTGAGATCAACATGGCGAAACCCTGTCTCTACAGAAAATACAAAAATTAGTTAGGCATGGTGGTACACGCATGTAGTCCCAGCTACTCATGAGGCTGAGGTGGGAAGATCAAATGAGCCTGGGAGGTCAAGGCTGCACTGAGTCGTGATCTTGCTACTGCATTCCAGCCTGGACAATAGAGTGAGACCCTATCTCAAAAAAAGAAAAAAGTTCCCACTGTTAGCTTATTGATCCTAGTGAAAACCTCAGCACACATAGGATATTCAACTGTGGGAATATCCTGTCTTTTATAATACAAAGTGGTATCCTGCAGAATGGGTGGAAGAGGCAGACCTGTGAAGGGACCCATCTTTTTTTTTTTTTTTTTTTAGATGGAATTTTGCTCTTGTTGCCCAGGCTAGAGTGCAGTGGCATGATCTCTGCTCACTGCAACCTCCGCCTCCCAGGTTCAAGCATCTTACCATACTTCCTGTCTCTCGAATCAAGAGGGCTAGTGACTGTGGAGAGGAAGGGAAAGAATAAGAACCTTCTGTTTCTCCCACCAGAACACTTTTTGCTCCACTGCCTCTCCTTCCTTCCTATTGTCCTGTGAGTATCTGTGTCATTTCCTCAAAGAGGTGTTTTCTGGTCCCCAAACCTAAATTATGCCCCTATTATTCTCTCTTTTCTCCTTCAGTTTTTTTTTTTTTTTTTTTTTTTTTTTTTTTTTTTTTTTTGAGATGGAGTTTCACTCTTGTTGCCCAGGCTGGAGTGCAATGGCCCAATCTCGGCTCACTGCAACCTGCACCTCCCGGGTTCAAGCAATTCTCCTGCCTCAGCCTCCTGAGTAGCTAGGATTATAGGCACCCACCACCACACCCAGCTAATTTTTGTATTTTTGGTAGAGACGGGGTTTCACTATGTTGGCTAGGCTGGTATCAAACTCCTGACCTCAGGAGATCTGTCCACCTCAGCCTCCCAAAGTGCTGGGATTACAGGCGTGAGCCACCATGCCCGGCTTTTATTTATTTATTTATTTATTGACAGAATTTCACTCTCGTCACCCAGGCTGGAGTGCAGTGGCCCAATCTCAGCTCACTGCAACCTCTGCCTCCCAGGTTCAAGTGATTTTCCTGCCTCGACCTCCCAAGTAGCTGGGATTACAGGCACCCAATGCCATTCCTGGCTAATTTTTGTATTTTTGTTTGTTTTTGAGATGAAGTTTCGCTCTTTTTTTGTCCAGGCTGGAGTGAAGTGGCATGATATCAGCTCACTGTAACCTACTCCTCCCGGGTTGAAGTGATTCTCCTGCTTCAGCCTCCTGAGTAGCTGGAATTACAGGTTTCTGCCACCACACTCTGCTAATTTTTGTATTTTTAGTAGAGATGGGGTTTCTCAATGTTGGCCAGGCTGGTCTCAAACTCCTGACCTCATGATCTGCCCACCTTGGCCTCCCAAAGTGCTAGGATTACAGGCGTGAGCCATCATGCCTGGCTTAATTTTTGTATTTTTAGTAGAGACTGGGTTTCACCGTCTTGGCCAGGCTGGTTTCGAACTCCTGACCTCAGGTGATCCACCCACCTTAGCCTCCCAAAGTGCTGAAATTACAGGCAAGCCACTGCGCCCTGTCTCTTCTTGAATATTCTTTAGAGTATTCATCAGAACTTTAGTTATGTATTTATTTGTGTATTTCCTTGTTTTAATAACAGTCCCTCACTAGACTGCTCAATAACTGCAGATATTTTGTCCGATTTTGTTCCCTTATCCCCAGCAGAGAACTTGGCACATAGTAGGTATTTCATAAATGTTGGTTGGAAAGTACAGTTTACAGAATATAATGGCAGATCAGATATCATTGTAGGGAAGCCTGGAGGATGACCTAGGAAATTCCACTTGCGTGGCGCTAATTGCCAAGGTGAATTTAGGGAGTTAGGAGTAGGACAGGGACGATTATGTGATTTGAGATGTGTCCAGTTTGAGGGCATTTTGGGGTGGCTTGGAGAAGACAATCTGCTGGGAAAATTTCTCTGACTCTCTCCTTACTGCAGCCCAGGGTAGGGGCTCCCTCCATCCACCTGGGCAGACCTCTGCCATCACCCATCTCACTGGCATGCTCTTGGGAGCCTATCTGTTCCCTGGGCGGTGAAGCTCTAGGGATCTGGAACAGTGCTGCAGGTCTCAACTCTGGCTCCCAGGAGTGTGTATGCAGTCAGGGCTCAATAAATGCCAGTAAAAGGAAAGAGGGAAGGTGGAAAATGTGGCCAGGCCCTCAGGGGAGAGGCTGGGTGAGGAGCAGATCTGGGAACGGAAATGGAACTAGAAGTCCAAGCTGGAACCCTGGAGCCCTAGATACAGGGTGGACAGAAAAGTGCTCCAAGCCAGGAGGCCAGGCACAGGGCTAAGCATTGTATTCACATGCCTGCATTTCATCTTCATATCAGTTCTAAGGAGGCATAAATATTCCTACTTTGTTCATGAGAAAACGGGCCCAGAGAGGTGACGAGATTTGCCCAAGGTCACACAGCAAGTGAGCAGCAAAGTCTGGATTTGACCAGGGCGTCGTCCCCTAAGCCCGCACTCTTCCACTTCACTCTCTCAGCCTCCAACCCTCCACCTCCCTACCCCTCTCCCCTCCCCTCCCGCGGCTGCCCCGCCCCACCCTCCAGTGCCGTTCCCTCCCCTTTCCTCCCTCCCTGCGGGTGGCGGCGGCGGAGCCACGTGGTGGGGCCGGGAAGCCGCGGCCGCCCAGAGCCCGGGCGGCTGCCCCAGCTGGGCAGTGCTGCTCTGCGCTGCGCCGCGCTCGGTGCCCGCTCTCCCTGCTCCGCGCTCCCCGCCAGCCGCCCCGGGGCAGGAGGCGCGCCTGACTGCTGGCCCGCCAGACAAAGGAGGCGCGGCTCGGCGGAGCCAGCGCGCGGGCGGACGGACCATGGACTCGGAGCGCGGGCGGCCGGCCCCAGCCCTGGGGACCCGACGCTCCCGGGCCCGGCCCTAAGCGCCCGGCCTCGCCGCCCGGCGCGCCCAGAGGGGAGGACGCGGAGCCCGCGCGGCGCGAGCAGGCGGCGGCCGCCGAGCAAGAGGGGCGCCGCGGCGGACGGCCCGCGCAGCCCCCGGAGCCATGGGCAAGTGCAGCGGGCGCTGCACGCTGGTCGCCTTCTGCTGCCTGCAGCTGGTGAGCGCCGCGCGCCCGGGCGTTCGGGGCAGGGTGGGGCGCGGCGGGGCGCGGTCCCGGGGCGGGCGGGTGGGGTTGCATGTCTGTGTGTGTGTGTCTGGTGCGTGTGCCCGGGCGGGGGGTGGTCTGGAGTCTCGGAGCGGTCGGGCGGAGCTTGCTCCCGCTGGCCGGGCTGTCTCTTTGTGTGCGCTTCTCGCTGCTGTGCCCGGCGCTCCTCGGGTCCCTGAGTGCGTCCTGTGCGCGAGTCCCCGGCCCGCCCGCACTGTGCAAGTGGCCTCCTGTTGGGGGACGCGCTGTGGGACTGTGGCTCGTTGGGACCGGGGGTGTGTCTGAGGCTGATCTGTGGATCCGTTGAGGTCCTGCTGTGTTTCCCTCTAGATCCTTCGTTTGCATGGGTCTGCCTTCCTCCGGGTCTCTGCCTCTGATCACCGCCCCTGTGTGACTGTTTCTCACGAAGTCTCTGCGCCCGCGTGTGTCTCTCCGGGTTTCTCTTTGGTGTGTCTCCAGATCGCTCACCATTTCTGGTCCATGTTCATCTGTGTGCTGGGATCTTAGACCCCAAGAACCCTCCAGTCCTTTGTGCTGTTTCTGCCTCCCTTCTCCTTCCTGACCGGGCAGTCCTGGGAATGGGGAGCCACTTCCCCGGAGAGGCTCACCAGGAGCTGCGAGATCCTGGGCCAGCCTGACCCGGCCTGGACCACCCTTCCTGCTTTGGTCTGGCCGCTGTGTCCATAGGGTTCCATCAGTCATCAGTTCCACCAGAGCCACTCCTCTGCCAGGGCCAGCACCAGTAGCGTGGGGACACTTGGGTGCCCCGGGGAGGACCAGAGCATCTGAGGACACTGTGCCTAGCCCCAGCCTGGGGAACTCAGGTTCTTGTCTCAGGGAGGAGTGACTGTATCGGACGAGGGGAACCAGCTCTGCCCTTCAAATAAGGCCATGGCAGGAGAGTCTGGGAGGGTGGTTAAGGAGAGGCAAGGGTCTCCTACCTACCTTAGAGCTGAGGTTGAACAACTAGGGAGGTTGAAGCTATGCTTCTCCTCTAGGCAGAGGTGCATGGGGACCTCCATCGCTGAACTCAGGTCTTATGAGTGTGAGCAGTGAGGAGCCTGAGCCCCCCTCATGCTGGACTTCCTTGCTCTGGGTTTCTACTCTTGCCTGCATCCATCACGCCCTCCCTACCACAGGAGCCCACGATAATGTAGAGTGAAGCTTTGAGCCTGGACGTGCAGACCTCCTCATTCGTCTTGCTTCTCACCTCCTGGGGACAACAGCTTCAAACATGCCATCCACAGACCTGGCCTGGGCAGTGGTAGAAACAGCCCTAGCACTGGAGATTATAGCCTGCTCCCAGCTGTGGGAGACTGAACAAGTGACTTCCCCCCAGGGGGCGGCCTCAGTCTTCCCGTCTGTAAAATGATCATCCCTGAGGATTGCAGAGGAGATTAAGATCAGGTGGAACGGAAACTCCAGAAGGGCAGATTGTCTGTTTTTCCCTATCTACTTTGAGGAACGTGTAATGCCAGGAAATGTTTAAACCTTTCAGAGAATTCTGCTTCTGTGTTTGCTAATTCTAAAATTTTAAACTAGGGTTTGTTTTTTTTTTAATTAGAAAACTAATATACATATATTGTAAAAATAAATAAATCAATACATTATCAAACAGGACAGAAGATTAAGTAAGTTTTCTAGGCCAGGTGCTATGGCTTACGCCTGTAAACCCAGCACTTTGGGAGGGTGAGGTGGGCAGATCACCTGAGGTTAGGAGTTTGGGACCAGTGTGGCCAACATGACGAAACCCCGTCTCTGCTAAAAATACAAAAATTAGTCAGGCATGGTGGCGTGCGCCTGTAATCCCAGCTACTCGGGAGGCTGAGGCACAGAATCTCTTAAATCTGGGAAGTGGAGGTTGCAATGAGATGAGAT